TCGGACAGTAAGTTGTTGTTATATCGGACAGTAAGTTGTTGTTATATCGGACAGTAAGTTGTTGTTATATCGGACAGTAAGTTGTTGGTGTTAGGTATGTATATAGGACAGTAAGTTGTTGGTGTTAGGTATTTATATCGGACAGTAAGTTGTTGGGTATATAGCACACTAATTAGATGGTGTTACGTATTTATATAGGACAGTAAGTTGTTGGTATCGGACAGTAAGTTGTTGTTATATCGGACAGTAAGTTGTTGTTATATAGGACAGTAAGTTGTTGTTATATCGGACAGTAAGTTGTTGGTGTTAGGTATTTATATAGGACAGTAAGTTGTTGTTATATAGGACAGTAAGTTGTTGGTGTATATCGGACAGTAGTTGTTTATATATCGGACAGTAAGTTAAGTTGTGTTATATAGGACAGTAAGTTGTTTGTTAGGTATTTATATCGGACAGTAAGTTGTTTGTTAGGTATATATCGGACAGTAAGTTGTTGGTGTTAGGTATTTATATAGGACAGTAAGTTGTTGTTATATAGGACAGTAAGTTGTTGGTGTTAGGTATGTATATAGGACAGTAAGTTGTTGGTGTTAGGTATGTATATAGGACAGTAAGTTGTTGTTATAGGTCAGAGGTATTTATATCGGACAGTAAGTTGTTGTTATATCGGACAGTAAGTTGTTGTTATATCGGACAGTAAGTTGTTGGTGTTAGGTATTTATATAGGACAGTAAGTTGTTGTTATATCGGACAGTAAGTTGTTGGTGTTAGGTATTTATATAGGACAGTAAGTTGTTGGTGTTAGGTATGTATATCGGACAGTAAGTTGTTGGTGTTAGGTATTTATATCGGACAGTAAGTTGTTGGTGTATATCGGAATAAGTTGTTGGTGTTAGGTATGTTTATATTTCTGTAAGTTGTTCGTTTTAGGTATGTATATAGGACAGTTAGTTGTTGTGTGAGGTATATCGGACAGTAAGTTGTTGGTGTTAGGTATTTATATAAGACAGTAAGTTGTTGGTGTTAGGTATTTATATCGGACAGTAAGTTGTTGTTATATCGGACAGTAAGTTGTTGGTGTTAGGTATTTATATAGGATTTGTATATCGGACAGTAAGTTGTTGGTGTTAGGTAGGTATATCGGACAGTAAGTTGTTGGTGTTAGGTATTTATATCGGACAGTAAGTTGTTGTTATATCGGACAGTAAGTTGTTGGTGTTAGGTATGTATATCGGACAGTAAGTTGTTGGTGTTAGGTATGTATATAGGACAGTAAGTTGTTGGTGTTAGGTATGTATATAGGACAGTAAGTTGTTGGTGTTAGGTATGTATATAGGACAGTAAGTTGTTGGTGTTAGGTATTTATATCGGACAGTAAGTTGTTGGTGTTAGGTATGTATATCGGACAGTAAGTTGTTGGTGTTAGGTATTTATATAGGACAGTAAGTTGTTGGTGTTAGGTATTTATATAGGACAGTAAGTTGTTGGTGTTAGGTATTTATATCGGACAGTAAGTTGTTGTTATATCGGACAGTAAGTTGTTGTTATATAGGACAGTAAGTTGTTGGTGTTAGGTATTTATATCGGACAGTAAGTTGTTGGTGTTAGGTATTTATATAGGACAGTAAGTTGTTGGTGTTAGGTATTTATATCGGACAGTAAGTTGTTGTTATATAGGACAGTAAGTTGTTGTTATATCGGACAGTAAGTTGTTGGTGTTAGGTATGTATATAGGACAGTAAGTTGTTGGTGTTAGGTATTTATATCGGACAGTAAGTTGTTGTTATATCGGACAGTAAGTTGTTGTTATATCGGACAGTAAGTTGTTGGTGTTAGGTATTTATATCGGACAGTAAGTTGTTGGTGTTAGGTATTTATATCGGACAGTAAGTTGTTGTTATATCGGACAGTAAGTTGTTGTTGTTAGGTATTTATATCGGACAGTAAGTTGTTGTTATATAGGACAGTAAGTTGTTGGTGTTAGATATGTATATAGGATAGTAAGTTGTTGTTATATCGGACAGTAAGTTGTTGTTATATCGGACAGTAAGTTGTTGTTATATCGGACAGTAAGTTGTTGTTATATCGGACAGTAAGTTGTTGTTATATAGGACAGTAAGTTGTTGGTGTTAGGTTATATCAGTAAGTTGGACAGTAAGTTGTTGGTGTTAGGTTAGGACAGTTAGGTATGTTATATAGGACAGTAAGTTGTTGTTATATCGGACAGTAAGTTGTGGTGTTAGGTAGTTGTTGGTGTTTATATCGGACAGTAAGTTGTTGTTATATCGGACAGGTGTTAGGACAGTAAGTTGTTGTTAGGTATATCGGACAGTAAGTTGTTGTTATATAGGACAGTAAGTTGTTGGTGTTAGGTATGTATATAGGACAGTAAGTTGTTGGTGTTAGGTATTTATATCGGACAGTAAGTTGTTGTTATATCGGACAGTAAGTTGTTGTTATATCGGACAGTAAGTTGTTGGTGTTAGGTATGTATATAGGACAGTAAGTTGTTGTTATATCGGACAGTAAGTTGTTGGTGTTAGGTATTTATATCGGACAGTAAGTTGTTGTTATATAGGACAGTAAGTTGTTGTTATATAGGACAGTAAGTTGTTGTTATATCGGACAGTAAGTTGTTGGTGTTAGGTATTTATATAGGACAGTAAGTTGTTGTTATATAGGACAGTAAGTTGTTGGTGTTAGGTATGTATATCGGACAGTAAGTTGTTGGTGTTAGGTATTTATATCGGACAGTAAGTTGTTGGTGTTAGGTATTTATATAGGACAGTAAGTTGTTGGTGTTAGGTATGTATATAGGACAGTAAGTTGTTGGTGTTAGGTATTTATATCGGACAGTAAGTTGTTGGTGTTAGGTATTTATATCGGACAGTAAGTTGTTGGTGTTAGGTATGTATATAGGACAGTAAGTTGTTGTTATATCGGACAGTAAGTTGTTGGTGTTAGGTATTTATATCGGACAGTAAGTTGTTGTTATATCGGACAGTAAGTTGTTGGTGTTAGGTATTTATATAGGACAGTAAGTTGTTGGTGTTAGGTATTTATATCGGACAGTAAGTTGTTGTTATATCGGACAGTAAGTTGTTGGTGTTAGGTATTTATATAGGACAGTAAGTTGTTGTTATATAGGACAGTAAGTTGTTGGTGTTAGGTATGTATATAGGACAGTAAGTTGTTGGTGTTAGGTATATATACAAGGACAGTAAGTTGTTGGTGACATATAATAGCAGAAACAAAAACAAAACAAAAACAAACAAAATTAGCTAAAAAAAAAAAACAAAAAAAAACAGTCAGTCTCACGTGATTTCAAAATATATTACTCTGCCCGAATTGCAGCATCCGGGCCTAAAACTACTTCATGGCTCTGGCGAAAAGCGAAAATGTCCCGATAAATCTTCGACATTATTGTAACAGAGGTCATTATTTATGTCAATGCCTCTGTTATGGTTCGGACCCGGGACGAGCTGTTCTCTGCGGCCAATCGGTTTTCTTCGACGGTTACCATGGTAACAGGATTTTCTATAGTGTATAAGATAGCGTCAGTTATCGTGAATTATATAATAAATGAAAACATAACAAACTCGCTATAGCGTTTAGAATATTTGTCCGTTAGGATTTAATTTCATTTTAATTGATTTTATGAATCGACCAACTAGGATCATTGATTTCTGTTACTTTTTCCAACAACTGTAGACATCGGTATGTTTATTGAATTACTTAAAAAGCCATTTTTTATTTCATAAAAAAAAAATAAGAAACATATTCAATTTTGACAGATTCACAAAAAAAAGTAAATCGATATATAGAACTAGAATACAAAGTAATATTTCCGTTGGTGTATGTTATACAGAGACCTGCACTTATAGTTAATCATTATCATATAGATCTCTGGTTATAACATGGTCCAATAGCCATCGAAAGTACCAAACAAATACGACTGCCAAATTCGTTCCAAAGTAAACTAGGGGTCTGATTGATAAGTTGTGAGCCTTGTATTAAAGAAATCAAGCAGGGATGTCCCTTTTTAACTCTACTATCCCCTACCTTATTAAGATTGTGTACCCGAAGGCTGAAGTCATTTGGTCAGTATACGTCGAAGAGGTAGCACTATAAAGTAAACAAAGCAAATGACATTTGCAAAATAGACAAAAACGCTGAAAGAGTAGTGATTCAATAATAGCATAAGAAAAGTCTAGCATCTAAGGATATCCATACTGATATTGTAGCAATACAAGGGAATGATGGTCTCTCATATGCCACAGTGGAAAGGTGGGTGGCGGAATGTAAGCATGGCAGGCAGAGCCTTGGGGATGACGCCCGTCATGGTAGACCTGTCAGTGTTGCAACCCCGGAAATAATAAATGAAGTCCATATGGTATTGTTTTGGCTGACAGGCGAGTTACAGAGAGATATATAGCCAGTACAGTTGGGATTTTCCTGGAAAGAGTATATTCCATTCTTACGGATCTTGCAATGAGAAAGCCCTCAACCCGTTGGGAAGCACACCAGGCGGACTTTGTCGCATGCTAATCTGAACCTTTTAGAGACAGATCCTGTTAACTTTCTGCAGAGGTTTGTGAAAGCTGGAAAGGTTATGGTATTGGTTTTCTGGGATGCTGATGGTATATCCGTCTTATTCGCCTGATCTGGCTCCATCAGATTTTCATCTATTTCTACAATTGAAAAAGGCAATTTCCGGTACAACTTTTGGTCAGATGATGACGTCATACATGCATTGGAGGACTTTCTGTACGGTCAAGAAAAGAACTGTTTTAAAAGTGGCACTCAGGCCCTTAAACTCGTTGGTAAAAGTGTATAGATACTGAAGGGGGTTGTGTTGTAAAAGTATGCAATATGTCCACACCAAAAGTCAAACTCTTAAATGCGAGGTTCACAACTTATCAATTAGCCCCCGTATAGACACAGAAACGTAGTGAAATTGAATACATTATATAGATATAGCCTGTATTTGTGTACCTGTTTTACACATTGATGTTACCACTTTGTGTGGCTACCAGAATTACTATTCCAAACCCGGCGAGGAGGCCAACATTTTGTAACCAAAACACAGCACGGGTACTGTCCTGTCCTGTACTCTCCGCTATTCTGGCCTGATGACTCATCTCTGGGATCTACAGGATACAAAAGTACTAAAGTTTGAGTTACGTGTGCTCAGTCTGTGTCAAATATTTTCATCTTTCAGACTTCAAACAGGTCATCTATCATTTAAGACAATGACCGTGCATTCTTAAGACATGTATACGAGAAATTGATTGTACGAACTCACTGTGTTCGTAAATAAATATTGAAATATCTTTCGATTTGAACAGCGACGAATAGTTAAAAAAACAATGTCACTTACCATATCAGCAAGAGCTATATAGACAAAGAGACCCCCAGCAAAGGCAAAAATGTATGTGTTGGCGTCTGTATTCTCTCCTACCACAATCCCTATCACCAGCCCGATGTAGATCGCCACAGCCGCGAGGAAGTTTAGCAACAACGCTCGTTTGATCGTCATTCCAGTGTGCAAGAGAATGGCTATGTCACCTGTGGAAAATACGACAGAAATATTCATCACGCTGATAAATATAACGACAGATAGTTTAACGTGCCTTGGAAATATTCCTTCAAAGTATTCTGAAGACTGTATTATATTATCTCCAAGAGTTATTGCACTTTGTTCCACTCTTTCAGTATGACGATAAGCTTGACAGCCGATGGGGCCGTATTAGAAAAATGAATATCTTATTTCAATACAAATTTAGTTTAAGCAATATTTTATTCCATATTCAACAATATAACTCCTACATGAATAACTAAAGGGATGGGAAAACTAGCTTAGATCTTATATTAATTCCTTTCCTAAATATAGAATTACAAGCAGTTGCATCATACAGCTGTTTCGTCCTTCAAGAGATCAGTGATGAAAACGGCTTTAACATTTTGATATCTAGGAAGTGAATGTACAAAACTGATCAAAAGAAATGTCAAAATCTATAAAAGGGATGATACACTGACCCCAAATAAATTTTGTAATTTTTATTATATTTGATAATTTCAGAAGAACGAGGATAAATGTGTATATTCTGAAACGTTCAGGTCATGCAGGTTACGGCAAATATATCTAAAGTTATAATTTACTCTAGTCTTTACACGATTGCGACCTTGTCAGTATAATGCATTTCTCTCTATATATACATGGGCGCATGACATGGCGAATAAACCTAATGCATGGGTGGATTTTTTTCTTTCCTCTCAGGCACCTTCATGGATACCTTACCTAGCTCGTGTGGCAGCTCTTCACTGAGAATAGCGAGAGACACACTGATCCCCAGAGCCATATCCTCCGTGTAGGCAGCACCCATAGCGAGGCCGTCAGAAATGTTGTGTAGAGCGTCACCAAGGAGAAGGGTCCACGCTACAGTCGCTACCTCCCCGTCACCCTGATGTGAATGGCCGGGAACGTTGACGTCATTGGTATCGATTTCCAATGGCTTCCCTTCTGGTACTTCAACCTCTTTACTCTGCAATAGATAAGATGGTGCAGTGTAAGTTTTATACTTATAGTTTACAATCAGAATGAGCTTTCATAATACCTTGTTTGCTGGCTTTATCATTTTGTGGCAACGTCTCTATGAAGTACCAGGTGGCTACTTGATCAACATACGGGATGCTCGTCGCATGCTGTCTGGAGTAATAAGTGTTTTGCCAAAGAACACAGCCACGTTAGCACAAACCAGTCCGTTTCTCAGCTTCCTAAGAAACAAAAACTGCCACGGGTATAGAGCGGCGAACCACACCCCTCGGATCTTCGCATGAGGTATGATAGCTTAACGCTTTAACCGATTAAAATGCATCTTCACCTGAGGTTAGACAGGTTAACGTTTCAACCGACTGAAATACATCTTCACCTGAGGTTAGACAGGTTAACGCTTCAACCGACTGAAATGCATCTTTACCTGAGGTTAGACAGGTTAACGCTTCAACCGACTGAAATGCATCTTTACCTGAGGTTAGACAGGTTAACGCTTCAACCGACTGAAATGCATCTTCACCTGAGGTTAGACAGGTTAACGTTTCAACCGACTGAAATGCATCTTTACCTGAGGTTAGATAGGTTAACTCTTTAACCGACTGAAATGCATCTTCACCTGAGGTTAGATAGGTTAACGCTATAACCGATTGAAATATCTTCTTTTTTATGTTTTTAAGTTTAAGTCTTATACCTTTCTTGTTCGACCTTAGTTCAGGGATGCTCCAGATTAATTGAGGAATTTAGCTTTTAACGAGAAATTGTATTTATGTTCTACCTTTAATGAATACCCCTTTGTCAGAGGATGAAGGAGAGGGTGGGACAAACCATCCGTTCGTAGACAATTCAATTCATTACACACAATGGGTATCCAGTTCAATTAAAGTTAAAAACCATCGGTAGGATTTGCTGGGGAAATTGATGAACATTGAGGAACGCCATGCCTAGCTGATGACAAAACAATAACAAATTTTGAGATATTGAATATACTTACTTTTTTCTTAATATTTGACCTCCAGTTAATGCATTGCTCCACTAGGAAGAAAATGTAGATACCGGCGATGGCAGTGATTAGCTTAACTTTGTACTGTGGAATGGGGCTGTCCTCTCCCGTGATACCCAGAGACTGTAAAAATTGGTCTCATTATCATAATTGTTTGTAAATGTACTTCAGGCGATAAATAATGAAATGCAAACACATGCTTCCTAGAAATAAATCTACTTTAACGATTATCAGTGTGATTCCTAGAAAACCTCAAGACAATAGGGTAAAGGTTTCAAAAAATCCAAAATACCAAATCTCGCGAGATTTCATTTTTTGATACGTTAACAACCACTGGTATAGAGAGATTGCACATATTGGTGACTATTGTAAATATTCTGGAAATCCGCGACCAAGACAAAAATCGTGCAGGTATAGTCAGAACCTCAGACTAGCATTGTCACTACAGATAATGAACAAGTTTGAAGTAATATTCATTAAATGGTGATTGATATTGAAATTGCATTTGATGTTGATGAGATAAATATTCATGTGTGAGAGAATTCCTCTTCTCGACTCTTTTTAACTTTGTTGATATTTATGTTGCTTTACTTAAGGATTTAAACAGATAGAGAAATACGTCACCTCTGGAATAAGAACCAGAAGTCCTGTTCCTCCTAATGTCCCTACTGCTAAGGCTACACAGAAATACAGGATCCGCTGGAATCTCCTCGTCTTCATACACGGCTTGAAAAATACCCCGATGTTAGAGATAAAGACGATGACGGACGCTGATGCTATGCCAAATCCCCAAGCTGAAAAATAAAGAATTGCGTTATAATAATTCAAGTATATTTGATGAAATTAGAAATCATCTTAACTGCAGGACCTGATAACTATAAATTATTAATCGTTGACCCTTTATTGCAATACATCCTTCACTACAATACTATAATTCCACTCCTTCTAACGTATCTAACCGTTTTCCTTCTTTTTTTGTTTTTGTTTTTGTTTTAATTAAGACATGGCCGCATTATATTGTTATGTAAACAGTGTTATTTACACAACAAAGAGAGATATGTTGTCCGGATACAACAGTGTTGTAATTCACTTGAACACTCATTATTTTCAGTGGAATAAAATCTAACTATCTTATTGGATAGCTGACGTCAACTAATGACCAACAAATACGTAGTCATCAGCGTGACGTCATAGACGGCAATATGGCCGCCCCCTCAGTCATTATAGTCTGTGTCGGATCGAAATTTTGAACGGCTGAAGAAATAAAATTTTGCTGTAACAATCAAAAATTAAGTATATGTCACGTTTACTAGATTGATACTCTGAGATTTATATAGGAAAAGGTCTTTGTTTAAGATGAAATATAATTAAACCGTTTCTTTACATCTACTGACTTATTTCTCACATGCCATGATCATTTAGTCTCGTGCGCTATAAATCTGAAAGACCTTCTGGTAGTAACAAATTAAAAATACAAATAATCATACTCAAAATAAAACAGTTTTCAGTTCGAGATGTACATAATGGATTGCTTGTTTTGTTGAAATTGTTGTTTTTGTTTTTGTTTTGTGGGGTTTTTTTTCGATACTGTTTCCATTTTCTGTCTTTTTTTTCTGTTGAAAGTTTTCTCAACTGTCGCCTAATTCACAAATCGTTAATCGAGAAAATTAGGATGCATGATAATCGTTTATCTAACCTTCAGCAGAACTAGGTTTTTCACCGTGTTTTGTTTCCTCCTCCTCCTCCTCCTCCTCCTCCTCCTCCGCCTCCCCCTCCTCCTCAGCTTCACGATGACAGTGGTGGTCTTGGACAGAGTAGATGATAGCCGACAAAGAGTTACTCAAGCCAGTACTGTTCAGACTGGAGGCGATGGAGTATTTTTGGAAGATATCTTCATACCCCATACACTTTGATCAGAAAAGAATAAAAACGGGTCATAAAGTGATACACAAAATATAAAAAGAGTTAAATCAAAAGTAGGACACTAAAATAAATCATCACCATGAATTACGCTGCTCAGTTCAGTAGAAAGTTTTGAACACGACCTTTCTTTTGAAATACAAGTTAGAACCCGCTTTTTTGTGCGTTGTATTTCCTTGTTGGATATGCTAGACATGTGTTTGATGCTCGTTAGGATACCTGTTGCTGTTGTTTACTGTGTACTCATTGGAGAGCATGATCATATTTAATTAGATTGACCTAGATTTACATGGCAGGTATTAATGAGGCAGCAGACGCTTACTACACCGGAACACATGGTCTTATTGTTCTTGTACTTTTGCATTAAAATTCCTGTGATATGTTGGTATTTTGTTGTTGTTATTGTTCAGATAATTTTCATAATGTAATCTGATTTCATATTATTTATTTTGTTCTTAACTTATTTCTTAGTGTAATTTAGATACTTTTTAAGATATTTCCTAAACATCTGACTTCTTTCGAAATGGCAATCAGTACTTACCAGGCTTGAACACGTTTTATCTGCAGAGGTGTTGCACTTGCTGCCAATTGAGACATAGGAAGGGTCAAGTCCTATATTTATTCCGAATTCATAAAACCCTTCCTTTGATAATGCCCCATGGATACCATATTCATCTAAAAGGGCATTTACATACTTGTCGTAGGGTTGTCCACTCGCACAAGTGGTTATAATAACTATACATCCACAAAGCTGAAGAAGGGACATCCTAACAGTACAACTTACAACTAGAAGAATGCATTGAGAAACATCTATATCCTTCCTACTGCGTTTGAGACATGCTATTTCATGTCGAGGTTTTATATTAATATTCCATGTAGAGAATACGGAATCTTGTCATTCTACGTAAGTAACATGTGTATACTAAGTCATGGATATTTCAAGGAACTTTCTAATTATACTTCCTGGCACGTGATTTGTCAAACATTAACTTCATTAAAAATTATGTTAGTATTTTAATCCAGCTGTGAATGAGATAAGCTAAGAATGCGTTTTCTGAAGAGTGCAAAATGTCGAGAGACTCCAGGAATTAATTGTGATGTGATTTTCAATAAACAAAGATTTCATTGACAACTATGCTAAAGAGCATGCTATAATGAATTCTTTTTCACAAATTTTACAAAGACCTTTGGTTTCATTTCTATATATAGATATATTGACGACGTCCTTCGCATACACCCGCCATAATTGGAGATAAAGGACACGACAGAATTTTCTATATCAGCCTCATATCTCCATTATCTCTATTTTCCCAACAACTTTCCATCAAACTGTATGGTAAGCACGAGGGCTGTTAGTTTCATGTTGTGAATTTACCATTTCTAAATAGCAACACTTAACGTATGGTCTTTACATGTCGCATTTAATTCGAAATTCAAGGGCATGTTCCCAATATCACGACAGACAAACAGCATAGGATTTCGAAAGATGCAGGTTGATGAGAATGATGAAAAGATTTTACGGTCCTCATAGTGATCTCATTAAGAAATATTCAATTTCTTTGCGTGTATGAACCTGGATCAGGTTTGCTGCTCCTTAGTTTACCAGTTCGTTCCGTTGTTTTATACTTTGTTCGCATCAGAGAACGTGACATTACTTACTTGCATTGACCAAGATTTACATGGCAGGTGTCGTTGATGAAGCAGAAAAAGCTTACTTTTCGGGAACACCTGTTCTTATTATCTTTGTACATTTCTATAAGTTTCTATGCAAGTCTTTCTTCTCTTTATATTTTGCCACAGTTGTATTGAATATGAGTTTGGCTTATTGATCTGTTTATATGCTGGTATTTGTTTTTTGTTTTCAACTACATCGAATTGTCGAACATTCTAAAAAATACGAGAAATATGAACATAACTGGCATTTAATTGTATGAAAAAAATCTAATAATTTGATCTCTGTAAGCATTGTTATGTTTCCTATTTATAAAATGTAATACGCTTCCTTTGTAACCAAGAAAATAATACCTACATATAAGAGTAGCCAATCATGCTCTAGTATTAAAATATTTCGTATGAGCGATTTATGAAAAGGATAAAGACCCCCCTCGTTTATATTGGATTCCTAAACTTCAATAATAAAGAATGTTTTATTGCCGGTTCATCTAGTAATACAACTGAATATTTATCATGACTTCTCATTTCCATTTTAGCACTGTCAGATCAGTTCTATAGTTTAAATGTAAATTACACAAAAGACACTGTTGATTTTTTTACTGATCTAGACAACTAAACCCATTCTTAACTAAAGAAAAGTCCTCTTTTTCTGATTTCAGAACACTTTCAAAGACAGATTAATGGCAGTTTACTACTAATCTAAAGCCAACATTTACATTTGTTGACTAGGTTTGAGGTCAACATATGTTATAATGGACCCTCGGACTAATCTGTTGCCTGCCGCCTTCGGAGTCGGACAATACTTTAGGCCTTGGGTGTAGTCCTTCAAAATAACACATGTTGATCTAAAATCCAGTCTACAAATGTTTTTTTTTTTATACATTCTACCATTGATATCTAAGAAAACGAATCATTATTGATAAATATAAATGAATGACAGAAATTGTTGAGTGACGACCGGAAAGTACCGGACAGTAATAAGCTGTGACGAAAGCAGTCAACATCGAGGTGTTGACCGGTTACCATTGTTCTGGAGCAAGCATCTGGAATTTTAGACTTTATTCACTATAGAGGTAACGAATAGTAGATATATAATACATACGATGCATAGATAATGATACAATCCTGAGAACAATAGAATTTCGGATAGGCAATTTCGTCACTAAATATGATGGATATTCGAGAGACGTAGCTTGATGAAGATTGTGGAGAAGTTGCTTGGTCGTCATCATGATCTCATAAGAAAATATTCTGTTTCCTGTTTTGGATATGACGTTAGATATGTTCGTTGCTCGTTAGTTTCCTTGGTATTTTATTGTTACAAGCCTGGAACTCATTCGAGAACGTAAGATTACTGACTTGGACTGACTTAGATTTACATTGAGGGGCTCGTCTATGAAGCGAAAGATAGTTAATCCTTCGGTCAGATAATAGTCTGTGTGTAGAGAAATCCTTTCTTTATATCTTGCCATTGGTAAGAATTGCAACCTTTCGATGTAGTAAGAAATTCTGCACGATTTGTATACAGACAGGTATACACAAATTTAGTGACGTTTCTAGCAGCAAAGACTATTTCATCTAGTTAAACTTAAATTCTAAGCCGCGGAGTACACAAAAATATTGCGCAAGGTTGAAAATAAATGTGTTTGTGACAGAATGTTGAGACTATGTACCTAATTATAACTTAAGTTTTGTTGGTAACTTTCGTGAGTTATTTTTCAGAAGTGAAAAGAAAGTTAAGTGTTTTTACATATATTCCAGCGCGGTTCTTATGAGAAAACACGTCAGAATGTTGGTTCTTTATAAAATGTAGCCATCGCCTATACTTATTTTCTGAATATTGTTCTCCACTGCAAATAAAACTGATAGGTAGATCTTCGTAATACCCTCAGGGATCAGTCTACTCGCATTCAAAATCAAATTCATCTTTAATTTAAATATTAACCAATGTGATAATCACCAACTCAATTACGATGTTTTCTCAGGTGCAATTTAGGGTTTTAAATACATGTATTCATACGCTTGTTGTAAAGTTCCAGTAACCATATATATATAACGCTATTGTGATTATTCAGGATCTGATCGATGTTTGAAACCGTCAGTGTCTTGAGCTGTAGCATGTTTAAAACAATGGGGGAGGTCCACCACCTTTGTTGTAACAGTCCGTTTTTCTGTTGTCTTTACACTGAGTTGGAATTTCAAACTCTGTGTAGTTATTGAAGGTTGTGGAGGAGAACAAGCGATACTCTGTGAACAAGTAGACTGGAGCGTTGCCAACACATCTAGAGGCCAGAGCCACATCAATTACACACCCTTCTCCCTGAGCCACCGGTTTCTTATCTGGATACGAAGCGTAATACCAGAAGTGGATAACGCCTCCACCTGGTGGGGGCGGCTGTTCGATCTCTGATGAGGGGGGAGGTCCAGGTTTAAAGTTCATTGTATAGTTGTACACCTTCCCGTCATAAAATTCACCCTTGTAGTATCCAAGTTCACGCTGTAGTTTCATCTGCTTCGTCATCCAGTTTGTCTGTGGTACTTTCAAGGGAAATAATCCGGGTGATCCGTAACCTTGGCAACAGAAGTTATCAGCAGCGATGAATACTCGTCCGTCTTCCTGCCAATACTCTACGCATGGAACCTTTGCACCGGGACCACCAAAGTTGGTGAGGTTGCAGAACTCATGGTTGATTCTCTGCACCGATTTAGTTGTACTGAGATCAGCGGTGGTATTTTGACCACGAGGGTTGTCTGCATAGGTCCTACCGTTTAAACATTCAAGACCGTTGGGTTTGCACCAGAATGGTGTTGGCCCATAGGAAACACCGGAGTAATGGGACTCTGCAGGCCACTCCGGCCAGGCACCTGGAAATACAAAAAGGTTCAAGTAGTAAATTATGACAGTTTTACACTATGGATAATATCTAATAATTGGAAGCTTGAAAATATTACATCACATATAACAATTTCAATATTGCATATTGCCTAAGAATTTTTGTCAACACATATTTAGCCCCCCATCGTCATATGGCAGGCTGCTGAAATCACCCTTAATCCATGGTCGGTCCGTCGTCCATTCATCATCCGTTCTTACACAATACTTCATATGAATTTTTCTCCAATGTCATTCGTAGATTTCATCTGGTCACTGGAGATGCCTTTTCAGTTTGAGAGACTGATAATGAATTCCAAATGGTGGCCATCTTTCTAATTATTTAAGTTTGTTATAGCCATTTCTTGAGCAGTTGTTGATGGATAATTTCCAAATTTCATACGTAGATTGCCTTTGGCCCTCTGGTCGTTGCCCGAATAAAATGGGGCTGACCAGCAGAGCAAAATGAATTAATTATTTGTCGTAAAGCACTCAATGGATTCTCAAACTTCAGATGTAGCCAAGGTTGCCCTTTAATTGTGCACTGTATGGATGTTTATTGATGATACCATAGGGTTGACTCAGCCTTCAATACAACACGTAATTAAGAGGAAAGAAGAGATAAAAGAGAGAAAATGATAACGGACACGATAATTATTCTGTCTTCTGATGTTAGATATTTTATCAAAACACTGTCAGAAAACGATATGTAAGATCTGAGGCATTAGTATGATCATATAGAGAACTTTTTGTTATTCCTCCTGTAGTCTGTTTGATCTTGCTGAGCGTATTTGTGAATTATCAATAAGTCACAAGAAACGGCGAAAATATAACTGTAAAACTCCGAGATGACCATCTGTCGGTCAATTGTTCTTCCAAACATTCTCAAAATAGACAACTCACAACTAAACTAGAGTCCAAGAGATATCTACTATACCTGCCAATGTACAAGATGGTCGCCATTCTGTCATTTGTTTCTGGACAATGCACAACTAGGGTCAAAGGAAAACTCACTCATGGAACCAAAAATTATCTAGGAGCAACCTGATCTTTAAAAGTATCTATTAATTTTTCTCCAGGAAAGAGAAAACAAATTATAAATGACAATATTTAAGATGGCTGCTTGTCATAGATTTTGTTTTTACTAATCATTCTTAAACGGTCACTGCACGTGAAGTACTCAGATGAAAACTATACATAGAATTGGGAGTGGTCCATTAAGTGATGATAAACTACAACTGTAAACATCAAAGATGGCTGTCTTTCAACAGCGCGTTGATGAGATCGCTACATAATTGACGTAGATATGAAATTTGAGAAAGCTTCAGTGTACATTACCTTGTGTATTACACAAAGAACAGGTGTAATTATAGCCGCTTTAGGACAGACGGATGAATGACGTGGAAGAGAGCTTTGTGCAGTTAGAATATAATAAATCTATCATTGGTATCATTGCTTTGTCTAATTCAATATACTTGTTTCAGAATTACTGCAACTAGAAAGGTAATGACTTAGAAACAAGAAATGTTTCAAAGAATGAAAGTGGTACTTAATATAGAACCGATTTATGACACGCTATGACACGCTAATGATTTGTTTGGCATGTTGTAGACTTACTTGCAATAGTAAAACACACGATAACCAGAAAACCTGCAGAGCGAATCATGGCAGGAAAGTAGGTTCCAGCCATTCTGTTCTAGAAATAATGTCCGGCAGTACTGATTCGGTGATACTGTCCAACAGGGCGGTAGAACTCAATATATGTGTTGTTATCTGAATGATAAAGATCGATGTAAACCTGGGTAATGACCTAAGAGTACATTGTTCAACTCAAATCACTCACTCAACTGATGATATATAATAATACGTGCAGCCTAGATTTTGATCCCATATACAGCATCTGATATATCATCCACTGAAAATCTTATTTCTCTACGTGTATATATTTCACTTGCAATATCGGACAGGTGACCTATTATTTTCATTGTCACATTGGATCACGGTTAGAATCCTTGGATGTTTGGTGAACTGCGAGTCTGCTATCATCTTACTGCTTAGGAGTAACGATCCATCTCCGGGCAATGAAACTTGTTTCAAATGGTAAACATTTTTGCCCCCAGGGGGTAATGCGAGACCTTTGGTTCTACCATAGCTTGTTCTGGAGAAATAGGTTTTGGAAAAGGAGTCAATTTTACAACTTTTTGGTCCCAACACCAGTTCTTAAGGATTGGACAGTAACAATGTATGCATTTTATCAAATTTTCGTCATATACTTATAAAATCTAAACAACTTTGAATGTAGATTTTCTTTATAAACTAAAATAACATTTACTCACTCCTCAAGGGGTTCTCGGGTTAATAAAATTCACACTTTGGTAAAGCACCTAAATACACTTACATCCATCAGGAAAATTTTATTCTATCAAATCTGGATCTTGGATTTTCAAAATGTCCGATATGGTCGAAAGTAGAAAAGTTGTTTCCTAGTTAATCTAATTCAACTAAACCCTAGTCGTACTCGTTAAAAATGTAAGTATCGCTTTTTTGATATTTAAAACAAACATTTTCATTTACCAACGCCTAAATCATACCAAATATAGGAACAGTACCTTGATACAATTAGCTCGGCCGGTTGTAGTCTAAAGAAGAATATATACAGTGTCATCATATCATCCCTATTTAAGCATTTACATATAAACTAAACCAATATCATTGAAATAACTACAATACGGCTATAAATCAAATGCTTTTATTATGTTAATGAAGCTTGAAGCTGAAGAAAAGGGTAGTTATAACTGACAGCATTCAAAACCAAAATAGAAACAATTACAAATGCAAAAACTCTAAAAAAATCATTTACATAACAACCCACTGAGTAGTGAGTTCTTGGAAACATGTCCGTAAATAATGGTGCTTAATTTCGTCGTAGAACAACAAATATATATTGTCTTGAGCATGGCATGGGACTAACAATATTCACGTGCTCTGGACACTCATAAAATACCGGCAAGTTTAGCCTTCCTTCTGAATGAAATGTATATGGCATTTAACAAATCAAAATACATATTTCTATTTTATAACATTTCATAAACAAAAAATAGTTATCAATATCGATGCAATGGCAACATTTACTGTTGCTATCATTGGTATCTCATAGAAATTTCTTGCTATACTGCTAACAATTGATAATATACATAATCATCTGTCGCTGACATGTATATAAACACAGGGACATGAGAACATGTCACAACCTTATTTGAATCTATCTTGACGTGTTTACAGCATTTAAGGGGTTTTTAGAAGCTCAATATACACCCTGAAATTGTGTCATTTTCTCTCGAATATTCACCGAGTCCCTAAAAACGTCTTAACTGTCATAATTTATTTAGATAAAGCCAAATACTCCGGTGACATATATAAAGATATAGCGGAATACAGTTGCGACAATACTGGTCTATGCTAGAAATTATGCCATTACTGTTTAATTTTTCTGGATTATTTTTTTTTGTTTTGTTTTTTTTAGATAATATTTTTTTTCAAATATGTAACTTCGACACTGAGTTCAACAGCGAACAATTGAAAAGATAACATCTTAAGTATATATACTTATAACAATGGGAAAATAACATTTTTTCTGTTGCCGCATATTTAAAAGTATAATTATACTATTTGTGTGTGTATTTACACACACACACACACACACACACACACACACACACACATATATATATGTATGAAAAATAAATGAAGGCACCATGGAACAACTGTCTGAATTAATTCATGTCTATTCCAACATGTCATATAATATGAATACATATATATCAGAAACATATTTTATAAATTTCACTTAAAGTGGTTGTTTCATAAACAAATGTAAACAACGTCACTCAATGCACCGTACAATCTAAATCTACATTGTATTTTGCCATTTTGTTCCCAAAAGACAATAAAATGACAAATACACATGTAAAGTTATACAATTAATGTAAAATGATTTATAAAAAAGATTCGATGTCATATCATGAGACAATATACATAATATTGTATGAAAATTACGACTACAGACAACATTGACCGTTTTGTTTTGATTAAACAAATGTGATGCACATTAGATTAAGTTTTAAGTTTGTTAACGACCTTCTCAACATAGGTTAAACCTTAGAATGAAAAAATATCAAATGAGAATGAAAACATTTTGGCTAAAAAAGTTGTACAAAAAAGTAAAAAAAAAAACAATTACGTTAAAAAATGATGGGAAAATGACATTAATGTCCAAAATGGACGATGCATTAACACTTGTCAGTCAAATGTGGACGAAAATTAGCATCATGTTGACTCTTGTCTTGCGATATTTTGACTTGTATTTCACATAAATGATTTCATGTATTATGTACAAATGACAATGGTGAAATTTCACTGATAACATTTTAAAGTTTCTATATGTTTACATTACACACAGCATGCTATGGAAAAACCTCTCTGATATTGTAAATCAATTACCGACATAGTACATGAATTTCATATTCATGCAAAATGTTAATTTGCTTATGTTTCATTGGGCTATTTATCATAGAATTAACTGTCTATACCTGTACATGATTGTCCTATACCTGTATATCAGTATAATGTTAATAATGTGTTGAAAAAACTTGTTTCCGAATCCGATTCTAAGGATTGTTATTGTATTGTTAAATGTATATAAACATGAAATAAAGTTTATATTAATGTTTTGTATTTGAATATTCTATATTGTATCATATATCTATGTAACACTGTATAACATTTTATCATAACTACATATGATTGTGTATCACTTGCTTTTGATGATATTTCGGTTGCAAATAAATGTGTCTCACTTGCATATTGATGACCCTAAATTGATTGCACTACAGTTATGAATTATTAAAGTTAGTTGGGTGCTAATAAATCATTGACACGATTCAATGTCATTTAGGATTACGATAAAATACATCCGCTGATGATACGTCTTTATCAGTGACTGCCATATAGAGTAAATTTAGTTCAGCAATAAAAATATATTTGTTATTTCGGGTTATAAAACTGAGAAAAAAAATAGATAAAAAGAAATGGTATATGTAATATAATGCAATATTGTTTTCACAGACAGGTCATCGGAATTCTATTTTTTATAGCAGTCGTGAATTCTTTCCATTCAGAGCAGATTCTATGCTATGCTTATGGGTTTTTTTTCTTTCGTTTTGTGGCAACACTAGTAAATATTTGTCCCAATTATTGAAACCCTACAACAATATAGAAAGGTTGACACTATGTTTATAATGAAGTTACCGTCAGGTAAACAAACAACCCTAACAGTATTGACCTCAGCAGAAAATTTATATGCAATTTACTACATATTGTTGTTTGCTTTTAAAAAGCTGTTCAACATACTTCAAGTGTATCAATTCATTAAAAATGGAGACATGTTACCCTGTTTATAACCGAGAGAAAAAAAGCACACGTACAACACGAACACTGGAAAATGGTAAACAAGGTAGAGAACATCCGTGACAAGAATAATGTGATTTAAGATGTTTATCATCCTGTTTACTGGCTGCGAAGACTTGAAAATAACTCATTATAAAACTGATAATCGGGAAATTTTAGCATGTAAGCTTGTGCTAGATGTGTGGAAATTATCTCTACAAAATAACGGATCTTGGGTTTTTTGGAAACTCTTTTAAAAATTATGGTGGAATTAGTAATAAAAAGGTAAATTGCTCCAGTTGGAATATATCTGCCTATTCCTATCCAAGCCCTTACCCTTACCACCAACTCCCAACCCGCAAAACCCCGCACATACCCTGAGAAGTTCATATAAACTCCGTCGAAATTAAATGACTCGCTGATGTACCATGCACCATTTTCTGTCGCGTTATTTTCAGTGTCATATTCTATTATTCTCCCTCCTTCCTTTAATATCAGTTCATTGAAAACAAACAGTCTGCTGCGGTTCAGGGATTGAACAAATACCCCTATACTTACAGGAGAATATCAACCTATAGCTCAGAAATTGATTGGAGATAATTTCTATATAAGCAAACACATTTAATTTGAAATTTATCGTATATCAAAAATGCATCACCTATTTCATTCAACGGTTTCTAAATATATAGCTGCCATTAGGAGACTTTATCTTGGAAGTTAAAAAGTTAGCAACCTACCACAAGCATCTGAATCTAAATCAGCTAATTAAAACTTCAACATTTCAAGTTGATATATAAAAGAATAAAATGTTATATTTATTATTTAAGAACTTTTGAAAAAAAATCTAAAGATAAATTATTTGAATGAAACATATCTCGAATTTTGCTTTTATTGATGAAATTATTTTTGTATGTCTTAAAGACATAAGGAGATACCGACACAACTAAAAGAAGCTATCACGAGAGATATTAGCATCGCTCAATGGCATGGTTACCAAGGATATAACATATTGGAAAGGCAGATATAAGTGAAGGACAGTGTAATTTCATATTAATATATATATATCATATAAGTAAATTGATGATATATTATTTGGCTCAAGTTAATTGTACGCCTCACCTCTGCAGCTCTATCAAACGTCAATATTAGGGCGAGTAATATAAACCGAATAAACGTCGATTATTGTTAAATCAGAAGGCAGATCAATCAAGAAAAAAGATCTAAAAAAATACAGCTTTTGTTCAATATCTATTCTTTTTACTCTCAGTTTGGCAGCTTTTTAACTTGTATTGCCAGTTTTGAAATAATTTTATTAATTTGTTATTTTCGCGGGAATTTGAATGGTTATCATAAGGATACAATCTGACATTTACTATAAATGCAATCAGGTATCATTTCAACGACAGACAACAATACAAAAAAGTTTGTATCATATATAAAAATATATAACAAAAGTGTAAAATGTCAAAGCTATTTCAAAGGTATAAATGCAGAAATCATTTCGTATCGAAAAATCTATGGATCCTCTTGAACAGGTGGTATATTCTACACAGCAATATTTCCACCAAGTGTTGCTATCAAAATCACGATTCCAAATCCAACGAGAAGCCCTACATTCTGAAGCGAGAACACCACAAGATTGCTATCTTCTCCTCTTACTTCTGCACTTTTTGCCTGGTTATTCATTTCTGGAATCTGCAATGAAAATGTTTGTTCGCTGTTGTCAATGAAATATACTTAAAACGAGATACGCATTTTGTGTAATGCTTAATGATCGAAATTATCAAGAACGTTTAGCATTCGGTTTAACGAATATTAATGAAAAAATTAGTGGAAGTATATAGTAGAATACGTGAAAATGGATAATAGACATGGTTTGATCGGAATATTTGGAAAAGCACAGCAATCGGTTTAACACATACGAATTAAAGAAAGTGGCCATATATGGCAGAATGCGTAATAATGGATATTTGGAAAAGCACAGCAATCGGTTTAACACATACGAATTAAAGAAAGTGGCCATATATGGCAGAATGCGTGATAATGGATATTTGGAAAAGCACAGCAATCGGTTTAACACATATGAATTAAAGATGGTGGTCATATAAGGCAGAATGCGTGATAATGGATAATGGAATCTCATTAATTGAAAGTTATTTAAGTATACAAAAGAAAATATTGATAACAGTAAAATATATAGACATGATGACTGTTTAAATCTTATGATTATTTGGGTTTGTGCCATCCAGATTTGGGCTTAGTAACTGTATTGCTCTGATCGTCTTTATTTCAAAAATCATAGAAATATAATAAAAAACAACAATTGTGAAACAAGACGGTTATTGATCTTTAGGTCATCTGACGTAAATACTAGAGTACTTTGATAGTATTCTCAATTTTAATTAGGGATCATTCTTGCAAAGTATGGAAAAATCCATAAGTAAAATTGGAGAAGAAATAAAATGTGGAAGACCATTTTTCATTGAGGTGATGTTCGATGGTGGTAACATTCCTGTTAATATAACAAATTGCACAGGTGTTTTGTTTTGGAAAACCACAACTGCGAAACCATGCAAGCAAGAAATTAGTAATTGTAACTTCTGACCAAGCCAAAAATAAAACAAACACCTTGTTCTCATCCTTTTTCTTAATATATACACTATTGCTTGGTATTGGTTAAACTGGAGAACGGTTTTGTCATCTTTCGTACCAGCAATAGTTAAGTATAAACAAATAGTATTCCACTTACCATATCAGCAAGAGCTATATAGACAAAGAGACCCCCAGCAAAGGCAAAGATGTATGTGTTGGCATCCGTATTCTCTCCTACCACAATCCCTATAATCATTCCGATGTAGATCGTCACAGCCGCGAGGAAGTTTAGCAACAACGCTCGTTTGATCGTCATTCCAGTGTGCAAGAGAATGGCTATGTCACCTGTAAAATCATTTAATGCCTATTAAGGAAACACGGAAAACAGTGACAGATGTTTATCTAGTTCTTTTTTTTGTTGTTTTTTTGTATTTTTTTTTTTTTTTGTTTTTTTGTTTTTTTTTTTTATTTTTTTTTTTTTTTTTTTGTTTATTTTTTTTTTTTTTTTTTTTTTTTTTTTTTTTTTTTTTGTTTTTTTTTTTTTTTTTTTTTTTTTTTTTTTTTTTTTTTTTTTTTTTGTTTTTTTGTTTTTTTTTTTGTATGTTTACCCATTTTTGTCGCTTCATTTGTGATATTAGTTTCGAGAGAAGCTAAAATCGATTTACTTAATAAGAAAAACATAACGATATTTCAACAAAAATAGGACAATTTTTAACAAAACCTTTAGCCGGCTTCATTAAAATGTAGAGATACAAAGAGTTTATATTTCATACTTTTCTTTATAAAGCAGCAATATAAAACCATTTGCGTTTGATTCAACCTCGTACTCAAACAGTGCCAAAAATAAAGTAAACGCATTCAGCAATTACCCAGCTCGTGCGGCAGTTCTTCGGTGAGAACTGCAAGTGACACACTAATCCCTAGAGCAACATTCTCCGTGTAGGCAGCTCCGATAGCGAGGCCATCAGAAAAATTGTGAAGAGCGTCACCGAGGAGAAGGGTCCACGCCACAGTCGCCACACCATCCTCTGCCCCATGTGCATGACTATGAACATTGTTTTGCAAAGACTCGCCTTCAGATAAATTAATCTCTTTTCTCTGTAATTAAATACAAATATGAAAATCAGTATTTGTATAAAACAAAACCTAACAGGGACACAAATATAAATATATTGTTATAGAAATTTAACCGTTCATAGATATATTGATACCTTACAAATAAAATTAATAACATAAACAAGTCAATTTCACGACTTTCCAGAAAACATCTTTTTGTTACTTCAAAATCTTGGTAATTTCGCAAATAAAGTTTGAACCATCGCAAAGATGTGCTTTATTGTATAAGCTTTGCGCTGACTTCTTAGAAAGTCTTATTCAAAGGGTTAAAGCTGGTAAACCTTTTTCTTCTTGTAGCTGGCTCTCCAGTTGATACATCGTTCTGTCAGGTAAAAAACGTAGATGCCGCCGACAGCAGTGATTAGTTTCCACTTGTATTGTGGGATGGGACTATCATCTCCTGCGATACCTAGAGACTGCAAATATAAAAGTATCTCTAATTATGGGTAGCCTAAATGCAAGAACGCAATTTAGTACCAAACAATTACGGAGATTGAACTCCATGCCACACAGAATTAGAGACGCAATAGCTGACCCGGGAGGACACACACGATATTAAGGATCGGTCTGACAACTGTCGTGTTTTCCACTTTGTGTACATTAGGATACCCTAATTAATGGCGGCCTGATAAAGTCTTTATTTGTTGAAGGCAGATAGTTCAATATTCAGGCATATTGCTCATAAATATCATCTCAATAAACTTTAAAGTTGCAGTTGCTTTTCCTCGTAGCATATATGACAAAACCAAATATCATAGAGGTTCAATACCTATCCTGCCTTTTGTTTTTATCATCTAAGTGAGCAATATCAGGTTAGATCAACGAAAATATGCATCTGATTTTTCCAACAAACGTGCGATTGTAGCAATACATACTAACATTAGCCGTTCATCACCACGTAGGCGTGCTAACATTAGCCACCCAGCACCACGTAGGCGTGCTAACATTAGCCACCCATCATCACGTGGCGTGCTAACATGAGCCACCCATCATCACGTAGGCGTGCTAACATTAGCCACCCATCACCACGTAGGCGTGCTAACATTAGCCACCCATCATCACGTAGGCGTGCTAACATGAGCTATCCATTACCACGTAGGCGTGCTAACATTAGCTATCCATTACCACGTAGGCGTGCTAACATGATCCACCCATCACCACGTAGGCGTGCTAACAATAGCCACCCATTACCACGTAGGCGTGCTAACATTAGCCACCCATCATCACGTAGGCGTGCTAACATTAGCCACCCATCATCACGTGGCGTGCTAAAATGAGCCACCCATCACCACGTGGCGTGCTAACAATAGCCACCCATTACCACGTAGGCGTGCTAACATTAGCCACCCATCACCACGTGGCGTGCTAACATGAGCCACCCAGCACCACGTGGCGTGCTAACAATAGCCACCCATTACCACGTAGGCGTGCTAACATTAGCCACCCATCACCACGTGGCGTGCTAACAATAGCCACCCATTACCACGTAGGCGTGCTAACATGAGCCACCCATCACCACGTGGCGTGCTAACATGAGCCACCCAGCACCACGTAGGCGTGCTAACATTAGCCACCCATCATCACGTGGCGTGCTAACATGAGCCACCCATCATCACGTGGCGTACTAACATGAGCTACCCATCACCACGTAGGCGTGCTAGCATTAGCCACCCATCACCACGTAGGCGTGCTAACATGAGCCACCCATCACCACGTAGGCGTGCTAACATTAGCCACCCATCATCACGTGGCGTGCTAAAATGAGCCACCCATCACCACGTGGCGTGCTAACATCACCACGTGGCGTGCTAACATTAGCCACCCATCACCATGTAGACGTGCTAACATGAGCCACCCATCACCACGTAGGCGTGCTAACATTAGCTATCCATCACCACGTAGGCGTGCTTACATGAGCCACCCATCACCACGTAGGTGTGCTAATATTAGCCACCCATCACCACGTGGCGTGCTAACATTAGCCACCCATCACCACGTAGGCGTGCTAACATTAACCACCCATCATCACGTGGCGTGCTAACATGAGCCACCCATCACCACGTAGGCGTGCTAATATTAGCCACCCATCACCATGTAGGCGTGCTAAAATGAGCCACCCATCACCATGTGGCGTGCTAACATGAGCCACCCATCACCACGTAGGCGTGCTAACATTAGCCACCCATCACCACGTAGGCGTGCTAACATTAGCCACCCATCCTCACGTAGGCGTGCTAACATTAGCCACCCATCACCACGTAGGCGTGCTAACATGAGCCACCCATCACCACGTAGGCGTGCTAACATTAGCCACCCATCACCACGTAGGCGTGCTAACATTAGCCACCCATCGTCACGTAGGCGTGCTAACATGAGCCACCCATCATCACGTGGCGTGCTAACATTAGCCACCCATCACCACGTAGGCGTGCTAACATGAGCCACCCATCATCACGTAGGCGTGCTAACATTAGCCACCCATCACCACGTAGGCGTGCTAACATGAGCCACCCATCACCACGTGGCGTGCTAACAATAGCAACCCATTACCACGTAGGCGTGCTAACAATAGCCACCCATCACCACGTAGGCGTGCTAACATGAGCCACCCATCACCATGTGGCGTGCTAACATTAGCCACCCATCACCACGTAGGCGTGCTAACATTAGCCACCCATCACCACGTGGCGTGCTAACATGAGCCACCCATCACCACGTAGGTGTGCTAACATGAGCCACCCATCACCACGTGGCGTGCTATCATTAGTTATCCATCACCACGTAGGCGTGCTAACATAAGCCACCCATCACCAAGTAGGCGTAAGAGTAATATTAAACGTAGCTCGGATATCTCCGGCTCTGAAAGCTTCAGTGTATACCACACACAAAAGGATTGTTCTCTCAAAGTCAAAGTGTCTTATGTATCAAGCAGATAAGAAAATTTTACGGTACTCAAAATGGATTACCTCTGGAATAAGAACTAGAAGCCCTGTAGCGCCCAATGTTCCTACTGCCAGGGATACACAGAAATACATGATCCGCTGGAATCCTTGTGTTTTCATACACGGCTTGAAAAATGCCCCGATGTTGGAAATAAAGACAATAACGGATGCCGAGGCAATGCTTAGCCCCCATGCTGAAAATTAAAGTTAAAGTATAAATGAAATTTAACAAAACAATCAATAAAATAACAAAATGGCAAACATAATCATAATTCAAACTTACATGCCATAAAACTAGGGGGAAATATAAACTAAAGAAAGATTTACAACGAAACTCCTAAAAAGTACAAGGAGAATAAGACCATGTGCTCCGGAAGAGTAAGCGTCTTTTGCTTCAACGACGACACCCGCCATGTAAACCTTCGTCAATCCAAGTAAGTAATGTCATGTTCTCAAGTGAGAACAAGGTATACAACAACGGAACCAACAGGTTAACTTCAGAGCATCAAATACGTCCAGCTTCATGTCGCCTATATATAGAATAAATCTCAATGAGATCACTTTGGCGACCATTAAACTTCCCCATATTTTTCACCAACCTGCATCTTTTGAACCAATGTGTTACGAGTTTGTCAGTTAGTTGACGACTTCATGCACAAAGATATGGGATTAAAAATTAAAGATTTGACGGAACTATATAAAGATATATAAAAGTATTTATGTTTGAGTAAGTCTGATTTCTTTCGTTCTAGTCGAGATGAAAATGGTACGGTTTCATCAAATGCAAAGCAACTGTTTTGAAAGGTTGATTGAATAATGGGTTGTGGTGCTGTTAGGTAGGGAATGGGTGAATTTGACAAAAATCGTTTCAGAAATGGACGAAATAATTAAACACGTATATTTACACTAATGATAACCTTCTTACATAAGTTACAATTGTTCGTTCATAAATATTCCAATACATATTTGAGATATTTGACGCTGCTGTACCGTCAGGTCCAACGTTATTTTTTAAACAATTTAACGTCATCTGAGTGTTTGATACGGAAGACGATTTCATCGTTATATCAGGAGGAGGAAAACAGTCGAAACGACAGAGATTGCGATGAGTTAATAACGATATCTTCTGATAGTTTTAATATAAAGACCTGCATGTAATCTCATACAAGTTATTTTGGATAACATATTAATTTTAGAAGAGAAAAATGGAAATGATAAAAATCTGGTTTCTTGCCTTCAGCAGAACTAGGTTTTTCCTCCTCTTTTGTTTCCTCGTCTTCCTCAGTTGAATGATGGCAGTGGACATCTTGTACAGAGTAGATGATTGCTGGTAAAGACTTAGTCAGACTGGTGCTGTTCAGACTAGAGGCTATGGAATACCTCTGGAAGATATCTTCATACCCCAAACACTAAAAACAGAAGATGTGTTAATATAGTATACATAAAAAAAAAGTGATGGCAGTTTATGGACCTATAAATGAAATGGTGTACTTTATGTACATGTATATTATATACACTTAAAACGTAACAGAAATTTTTATTTCTTTTTTCATTTCATTTATATATTTGTTTTATCTATTTATTTTATTTTAGAAAATGAACGACGTGATATTTACATAGATCGATTATTATAAAAAGTCGCCATGTATATAAGTATTATAGTTTGTATCTGATGTTGACAGGATTTACAACAGTATATCAACATAGATCAAACGACTATCGATATATATAGATAGTATATATACACTGGGAGAGACAGACACATAATCCAAAATGCTAATATAAAAGGTTTATTTTTTTTCAAATACATAATGTCAATTTACTAAACTTATTGTTCTTTGCATACCTTGAATTTGAATCTAAAAATGATTTTCCCCATAGACATTACCGCACGTAGCTTTCGACTTTAACACTACATTCAATGTAACGTATCATAGCTTCCACAAATAGCTGTTGAGTTTTAACCCCTGGTTTAGAAACAAAATGGCACTCGTGATCGCTATGCAGTAGACAGTTACACGACATGTACATAACACGTGGACGGTGAGGGTCTAGTCGTGGTTATCATCAATATAACATATCTATGTAATGTTTACAGTGGATTTACTCCTACTAATAGATTGGACGTGTTTTTGGTCTCTTAACCAGTTAAGTTTTCCTGATTGGACGTGTTTTGTGTCTTTTAACCAGATAAGTTTTCCTGATTGGACGTGTTTTTGGTCTCTTAACCAGTAAAATTTTCCTGATTGGACGTGTTTTGTGTCTTTTAACCAGATAAGTTTTCCTGATTGGACGTGTTTTTGGTCTCTTAACCAGTAAAATTTTCCTGATTGGACGTGTATTGTGTCTTTTAACCAGTAAAGTTTTCCTGATTGGACGTGTTTTGTGTCTTTTAACCAGTAAAATTTTCCTGATTTGACGTGTTTTGTGTCTTTTAACCAGTTAAGTTTTCCTGATTGGACGTGTTTTGTGTCTTTTAACCAGATAAGTTTTCCTGATTGGACGTGTTTTTGGTCTCTTAACCAGTAAAATTTTCCTGATTGGACGTGTTTTGTGTCTTTTAACCAGTTAAGTTTTCCTGATTGGACGTGTTTTGTGTCTTTTAACCAGTAAAGTTTTCCTGATTGGACGTGTTTTGTGTCTTTTAACCAGTAAAGTTTTCCTGATTGGACGTGTTTTGTGTCTTTTAACCAGTAAAGTTTTCCTGATTGGACGTGTTTTGTGTCTTTTAACCAGTAAAGTTTTCCTGATTGGACGTGTTTTGTGTCTTTTAACCAGTTAAGTTTTCCTGATTGGACGTGTTTTGTGTCTTTTAACCAGTAAAGTTTTCCTGATTGGACGTGTTTTGTGTCTTTTAACCAGTAAAGTTTTCCTGATTGGACGTGTTTTGTGTCTTTTAACCAGTAAAGTTTTCCTGATTGGACGTGTTTTGTGTCTTTTAACCAGTAAAGTTTTCCTGATTGGACGTGTTTTGTGTCTTTTAACCAGATAAGTTTTCCTGATTGGACGTGTATTGTGTCTTTTAACCAGTTAAGTTTTCCTGATTGGACGTGTTTTGTGTCTTTTAACCAGTTAAGTTTTCCTGATTGGACGTGTTTTGTGTCTTTTAACCAGTTAAGTTTTCCTGATTGGACGTGTTTTGTGTCTTTTAACCAGTAAAGTTTTCCTGATTGGACGTGTTTTGTGTCTTTTAACCAGTAAAGTTTTCCTGATTGGACGTGTTTTGTGTCTTTTAACCAGTAAAGTTTTCCTGATTGGACGTGTTTTGTGTCTTTTAACCAGTAAAGTTTTCCTGATTGGACGTGTTTTGTGTCTTTTAACCTGATTGGACGTGTTTTGTGTCTTTTAACCAGATAAGTTTTCCTGATTGGACGTGTTTTGTGTCTTTTAACCAGTTAAGTTTTCCTGACTGGACGTGTATTGTGTCTTTTAACCAGTTAAGTTTTCCTGATTGGACGTGTTTTGTGTCTTTTAACCAGTAAAGTTTTCCTGATTTGTCGTGTTTTGTGTCTTTTAACCAGTTAAGTTTTCCTGATTGGACGTGTTTTGTGTCTTTTAACCAGTAAAGTTTTCCTGATTGGACGTGTTTTGTGTCTTTTAACCAGTTAAGTTTTCCTGAATGGACGTGTTTTGTGTCTTTTAACCAGTAAAGTTTTCCTGATTGGACGTGTTTTGTGTCTTTTAACCAGTAAAGTTTTCCTGATTGGACGTGTCAGTAAAGTTTTCCTGATTGGACGTGTTTTGTGTCTTTTAACCAGTAAAGTTTTCCTGATTGGACGTGTTTTGTGTCTTTTAACCAGTAAAGTTTTCCTGATTGGACGTGTCAGTAAAGTTTTCCTGATTGGACGTGTCAGTAAAGTTTTCCTGTTTGGACGTGTATTTGGTCTATCAACTGGTAACATTTTCCTCAATGTTGAGTGAATCACATCCAATAAGTCGAGAAATAACCTCTGATCATACAATAAATGATATTTCTTCTCTAAAGATAACCATGTAGGCTTCCCGAGGTAACAAAACTAGTAAAACTTCTCAAGATTTAATATGACAGCGCTGGTGCTTTCCTAATCAGAAATATTTCCACTTTTATTATATACATATCAAACAGGGTTTTACTACTTATATATGGTTATAACTATATATAATAATATGCACCATAATATGTGGTTAAAATTTATATATTGAACCTTAATGATAAACTATAAGTAACACGACAGGACAGAACACCAAAGAGAAAGTGTTATTTCCTTTCAAACACATTCAATCCCATCAAATTCATTTTAATATAAAATTTTATCAACAATTAAACATTAACAAAGATCTTAATACATTTTCATATTCGTTGTACACTATTTGTTACGTGTACAAGTAGCACACAAAACCGGCGAAACACATTCAGGTGCGTGATTACTATTAAATGTATATACAGCAGTAGCTATCCTGGCGAATGTAACATTTCAGTTCTGACGATAAATAAGACAGGAGGTGATGGGACATGCTTATCCTGAATACCACGAAACAATTCCCATGTTACGTAAAACCACGTATAGGTTTATAACCTTTAACCCGTCATCTGTTGACAAAACGATTTTGGTAGTTCTAATGAGCACTGAACGAGCTAGGTATTGATTTCAGGAGAAAAGTGAAAATGTAATATCACTACAGCATAAAAACTAGGACAAGTCAGTCTCATTTTTGTACTGGTCAATGATGGACACCATTAAGTTGAGGTAACCGACTTATCATATCAAAACTTGTCCCTGTGTTTTATCTGGCAAGCTCAAAAAGTTTAGGTCTTTACGATAAACAGGATATTCTCTTTATTTTTAAACAATAACAAGCATGCAGTCACAATGCATATGACGAGGACATTTCACAGACAACTGACATTACACAATGATCATAACAAAGAGCTGTGGTGAACAAGTTACGAGATTTTATGTGGTGGTGTAACAAACGCCGCACAGATGGTGCGATTAAATATAATTAGCCGACCTGTTCAAATGGCGTAAACAATTGCGGGTTTAACTTAAACTACAATGGGATTTAAAGCAAACAAAGTATTTTCAGTCCAGTATTTAAGCATTTTATCAGTGTTCCAAAGTCACCACAGTACTTACTGATAAAGTTCAACAACTTTTTAAGCAAACCTGTTAACATGATAGCACCACCTATGCACAAAAACTTCTATCTACAATATAAAGTCTCTGACCTGAAAATCTGTTCAGAAACCCGCAAAGTCACGACTTGGTTAAGGCAAAATACCCATCACCAGAGAAGCAAATTTAGAGAATAATAACCACCAGATATTAAAAGAATTGCGTCTGAATTTATCTGACAAATTTGTTTCGATGTGCAAAAAAGACAGTCATGTTATCATGATTTATATAGTAATCTGGTAGGTTGGTTGACAGGTTTTCTGACTCCACGACTTCTCCCGTATCCGGGCATCGTCTCACCGACGAAAATCAGTGTTCTGGTAACATTCAAACCACATTCCGGAATATATATACCCGTCTTTGCTCTGGCGCTTTCATATTAAACACACCGGAAGAAGAAATTTGATGGTCAGAGCGCTAGTGATCAGCACATGTTTGCATAAACAAAATAATCTCAAGAAATAAAGACATTAAAGGTACTATTAAGCCTGATATCGATCAAAAATAGGTAGACTGTATCGACAGAATCCAGCTTAGAGTGATGTTATCAAGAACTCTTATGCACGGCAACGTTTTACAGGAAATGAATACGACACCATGTGTAATGTAGCCATGTACACGCATACAAGCGATACGATGATTATATTTATATAATGTATAGGACCAGTAATGTAATCAAATGTTTGTAGCTTTTTTCTGAATGAGTTTTCTACAAAAACAATAAAGTTAAACTTATCACATTCGTCTTTAAATTTGGCATACTCACCCTGGGTGTACACGTGGTCCCCGAAGTTGTGTTACACGTGCTTCCATCTGAGACAACGGAGGGGTCCAGTCCCATGTTAGTGCTGAGTTTATAAAAACCCTCCTTGGACAACACTCCATTGGTACCGTATTTATCAAGCAAAACATCTAAAAAGTTGTCGCCGAGTTGTGCACTTGTATGTGTAAGTCCAGACAACACACATACGACAAGGGTCAGTAGGAACATCATAGCTGGCCTTGCGGGATAACAAGCTGGAGAGCGAAATAATGTTGATACGTCCCTCTTAAGTCACTCGGATAGTGTCTGAAACATGTCACAATGTAATATACGAGATTATACGCCCACGAGTGTATCAGCTCTTGGGGTGTACACTCAATTGTGCACTATCTGTAACGTGAAGTGATATATTAGTGGGGACTACTTTGATAACTAAGAGCACGTGCACAGAGAAACATCTGGCGGGGTTTACACCACTCTTATGGACATAGACATTTAAGGAAGAATATGAATCATTTCGTAATAAATTTTAAGTTATAGTTGATTGTTTGATAATTCTGAGGCATTACGTGATAGCTCGTTGATAAATGGCCATTTAAGTAAGCTTTAAGCAGCGTTTGCCTGATAGATCCACTCGCCATTTTATAAAGATTTCAACAATTTACTAATAACAAAGTTGTTGTCAAATATCTTCGCTGTTTAAGTTTGAATTTATATCTTCGAGAAAACTATTTACAAATTTCTTGTTTCGAGAGCTGGACACTATACATTCCGTCAGATATACGATACCCAAGCGGCGATCCAACAAGGCCGACTTTGTGTGAAAACAAGCTGTTTGTACGTTGTTAACAGTTAAGTCTCTGCTAATGTTTAGCTCGTGTGTCAAGGTTTTACATAATTGTTGATTGATTTAAACATATTTTATTATCAGTATTAGATAAATAGATCTGAGACAAGTCCTAGCAACTTATGAACTCTTCTCCATAAATGAAATTACAAGTCATTAATATACTGCACGTGACACATATTTATACTATAGATATAAAGATAAGTAATTCGTAGACGTACAATTGTAAGTTTAAATCATTTTGTCAAAAGAAGGAAAAGATAAAATAAAAAGAAGAGGAAAAGAGACAGTATAGATTTTATATCAATTCAGTGCCGACTACAAACAGTTCATAATTAGGTAGTGTTAAAACGCTTTGTTTTATAAACTTTTAAACAGATTTAACAATATTACAATCAGTTTCATAGAAGTAAGCATCACTGTCGCCCCATAAGATAGTTTCTATGCTAAAATATACGTCTAAATCATACAAAGTATCAAACAATATGCGTCTACTATTAGGAAATAATGAACATGTAAGGAAATAGTGACTTGTGTCTTCAATAACATCACCGCGCGGACAATTCGGGGACTGACAAATACCTACCCTATGTAAATCTGAACGTAAGCCACTACAGTGATGTCTAATGCGGCCATGTATAACAGAGAGGTATCGATTATTAGAATGTAAATATTCAGGAACTGAAGAGCGTATGCGGGATAGTTTCGTCCTAAATGTGTTTAGTGATACAACCGATTTAGTAGAATTGTCTAAATTATTCCACAAATTGATAGACGACGGAACAAAAGACTTTTTCATAATATCCAGACGACTTGGATATAATTGTTCAAAAGCCACAAGTGAATACCATCTTAATTCCTGACTCTTCGTCGTCGTCCAATCAAAACAGACATGATTATTTTAAACATATAAAGTACTTACAAAGTTACAAGCTATCTTAATTTAGATCTATAAAAGTTTTTGAATTAATGCTAACCTCTTTATCACGCGATTACCATTACGTTTTTGAATAATATCTATTCACCAGAAAAAAAGTATACACCTGTGTTACTTAAGTGTTACATAGGTCTATGAGATATCTAATTATATCATATTTTACAGCATAAGAGAAATAACTCCATTCCGGAATTTAGTCTTTTTCATTATGAGTTTGTATATAAATCCGGATAATTTGACCGGGTCATGTTTTAACATCCAGATTGAAGCTAAATAAAATGGTGTCTTCTTTACTTTTGAAAATTTCATCTAACGCTTTATTTTTAACAAGAATATGATTTTACATGTTGGATGTCGTCACTGAGGCAGAAGATGTCTACCCTTCCGGAACACCTGGTCCTATGGTACTTGCAGTCACTGTGTTAATATTACTTGTCTTCGTGTTTTTCCATGATTTCGTCGAATAAAACTCTCTCGATAAGACTTAAGGAGTCAAATTACATTTCACGTATGGTATATTTAAAACAGCAGCTTGTTTTCTGGCTCCGAAAAAATCCATTATTCTCAAATTTGATCTTATCAAGCTTTTCATATTTATTTTTTATATTTGAAAAAAAAAAGAATAACTTGAAGTTCAAAATATATTTGCTCCATGAAACATTTTCAATTACTCGTGCTCGTGTATTTGTTTATAAATATAAAAGTATAATACAGAATAACAACATGACTGAGACATTTGACAACTGGAACATGTCCAACTGAAAATGTCTATATTGAAAATTAAACAAAAACATATGAACTTTTATACGTCTATATTTGATATATGATTAAAGGCGTGTGAAAATTGTAATATCTGCATTTTATATTAATTATAACAATTGCTCATTACAGTAAAATAAAAATGTATGTCTTTAATTAGAATTGTACGTTATTAAGTAATATATTAATCATTAATAAAGTGATATACCGTGTCTATCATTTAATAATCACAGATAAAGTAGTATACCGTGTCTATCATTTAATCATCACAGATAAATTCCTATACCGTGTCTATCAGTTAATCATCACAGATAAAGTGGTATACCGTGTCTATCATTTAATCATCACAGATAAAGTGGTATACCGTGTCTATCATTCAATAATCACAGATAAAGTGGTATACCGTGTCTATCATTTAATCATCACAGATAAAGTGGTATACCGTGTCTATCATTCAATAATCACAGATAAAGTAGTATACCGTGTCTATCATTTAATCATCACAGATAAAGTCCTATACCGTGTCTATCATTTAATCATCACAGATAAAGTGGTATACCGTGTCTATCAGTTAATCATCACAGATAAAGTGGTATACCGTGTCTATCATTTAATCATCACAGATAAATTCCTATACCGTGTCTATCATTTAATCATATCATAATCACAGATAAATAAAGTGGTATACCGTGTCTATCATTTAATCATCACAGATAAAGTGTCTATCATTTAATATCACAGATAAAGCATGTGTCTATCATATCACAGATAAAGTGGTATACCGTGTCTATCATTTAATAATCACAGATAAAGTCCTATACCGTGTCTATCATTTAATAATTGTTGATGAAAATAGTTTATGATTTATATCTTTTACCTATATATACTTGTAAACTTGGTATATTGAATTTAGTAATGAACAATATATGTTTTCATACATCTTAATGAATTTTAATCATAGGACGTGAACAGAAAAAAAAAACACCGTAAAACTGAACATCTGTTGAGATCAAATGTTTAAAAAGTGAAACATGATACGATTACATGAACAACTTCAATCTATTCTGATGTAATAAATGCGTCATTATGAATATGATACGTACCAAATGGAACTCCTTAAAATACTTAAAAGAAGTTATCTCATTGCTGTAGCGGTTTAATATTAATTTCCGGACTTTGCATTTCAAACATAAATTGCCACTTGTTGGATTCAATAATTTTCGACGAAAAACCATCTCAACGTTCTCCCATTTGTTATTTCACCACCAATCAGTTTAGTTTTATTAATCATCCTTAATGCAGAATATCCTATTACAGTAAACAAGCATCTTGACTTGACATTCACACTAACATTACGCGCTAATTTATGTTACAAAACTATACTACAGGTCACCTCTCCCTTCGATGTACAGTGACTACTACAGGTCACCTCTCCCCTCGATGTACAGTGACTACTACAGGTCACCTCTCCCCCTCGATGTACAGTGACTACTACAGGTCACCTCTCCAACTCTATTAACAGTACTACAGGTCAATTCTCCCCGTCTGTGTACAGTGACTACAACAAATCACCTCTCCCCTCGATGTACAGTGACTACCCAGGTCACATCTTCCCCTCGGTGTACAGCGACTATTCCAGGTTAGATCTTCCCACTCTGTGTACATTGACTACTCCAGGTCACCTCTCCCCGTCTGTGCAAATTGACTACTCCAGGTCACCTCTCCCCGTCTGTGCAAATTCATTACTCCAGGTCACCTCTCCCCGTCTGTGTACAGGGACTACTAGAGGTCACCTCTCCCCGTCTGTGCAAATTGACTACTACAGGCCTCTCCCCGTCTGTGTACAGTGACTACTCGAGGTCACCTCTCCCCGTTTATGCACATTGATTACTCCAGGTCATCTCTCCCCTCGATGTACAGTGACTACTACAAGTCATCTCTCCCCTCGATGTACAGTGACTACCCAGGTCACATCTTCCCCTCGGTGTACAGCGACTATTCCAGGTTAGATCTTCCCACTCTGTGTACATTGACTACTCCAGGTCACCTCTCCCCGTCTGTGTACAGTGACTACTACAAATCATCTCGCCCCCTCGATGTACAGTGACTACTACAAATCATCTCGCCCCCTCGATGTACAGTGACTACCCAGGTCACATCTCTCCCCTCGGTGTACAGTGACTACTCCAGTTCACCTCTCCCCTCGATGTACAGTGACTACTACAAGTCACCTCTCCCCTCGATGTACAGTGACTACTCCAGGTCTCCTCTACCCTCGATGTACAGTGACTACTACAGGTCACCTCTCCACCTCGATGTACAGTGACTACTACAGGTCACCTTTCTCTCTCCCTGATGTCAGTTACTTCTCCAATTTGTACTGTGACAACCCCATGTCACTAGCCTACGAGTCACATCTCATATATATGCACTGTGACAACATTAAGTCATCACCCCTTCTTATGTATATTGACTACCTCAGGCTACCTCTCCTCCGTGTGCAGGGAACACGCCAGTTGACCTTTCTGTATGTACTATGACTACTACCCAGGCTTTTTCCTCAACATGTTGGGTCAATTTTACCTCTCTTCTCTAAGTATTTGTGACTACCTCATGTCAACTCTCTCATCTATGTAAAGGTCCAACTGGTGAAACCGTTAGCGATGAATACTGACTAGAATGTCTATTGTATGGATATTGTATTGTCCGTGATAAGAAACTGTTGTTACCTGTTTACTATGTAAATGTGAACTACACCCGGTATATCTAGTGTTATACAAATTAGGTAGTACTATATTCATTCAACGGAGATGTGTAAAAGT